CTCTGCCACCTTTATTCCTAGCTCTTTGTGCTGGTGCCAGCCGGCTGCATAGTAGTGAGGACATGTTGCTCAGTACTGGCACTGTACAACCTTGCTTTTGTTGCTGTCCCTGCCCATGTCTGTTGCTTCTATAGTTATTGCAATTCCTTCCAAAATCTTGTCACCGTCTTTTCACAGGCATTCTTTTTATGGAGCCACTTTGAGTATTCTGTGATCACCATTGTGCATGTTCTTTCATAGGATTCTTTGAACTCTTTTGGCCTGTCAAAAAGCTGTTATTCTCCATATCATTTTGAAATAAATGAAGAATCTGAGGTTACTGTGACTTTCTTGTGCTCCTGATATACACTGCATGTCAAGTTGTGAATTACTTTGAAGTCAACCTGACTTAACAAAAAATGTGCATACTATAACTGCCAAATCACAAACTTGAAACAACTACACAGCTATTAGAAGCAGAAGTTATTATTTGCCTTTTTGTTCTTTTTAGCAAGGCTGCTCACCTCCACCATCACAGGAGTGACATTGTTTTCTAATGCAAACCCCCTCACGTGCTCTTTCTCTCCCCTGATATAGTAGCTCTGAGCTCAGCGGTTGAGAACTCATGCCTATGATTCCTTTGACTAGGCCTTACTTAGCAATGTCCTGGGGATATACCAGTCAGGCTTCATGAGGTATGTAAATGGCCTACTCCTATATCAAAGGATTCAACATTAGTCAAAGCTGCACAGTTTGTTTTTATCTACAGACTGCAGTTTTTGGGTAAAGGTGAACTAATCCTTTAAGTACACCGTTGTTTAGAGAAAAAGTTTAGGCAATTTAATCTTATGTAAGTCTCCTGACATTTCTTTTTATCCTGACTGTAGTTCTTGTTAAAATCTGTTCGCAGATTTCTTGGGGAAATTGGGCAGATGGTTATTTATTTTGCTGCTGAACATAGCTGTCATTTACACTGGCTAGTGCATTTAAAACTACTCAAATAAACATAATATTCTCTTCCCCAAAGGAAGACATTACTTTCACCTTTGTAGTTACACTAGACCTCCCCTATACTGCATGCCAATACTGACAAATCAATTGCTTTGCACTTTACAACTGCAGGACACATTGACTCTGCAATGCTTGTCAAAGTGCTTGCAAAGGCTGAATTTTTTTTTTACCTTAAATAATGTACTGGGGCTTTCAAAGTGCCACATTCAAAAATGTCAGAAGAAAGAATGGGACTAGAAACAAGGGACAAACATCCCCTTGCCAGCCTCCAATATATATATATACAGACTTTATTTGCACACCATGAGACCTACAGAATAACATTCAATCAATTTATTACAAAATCATTAAAAAGACAGCACATATTGGTAAGACAAATATCTAGATATCAGCCTTAAATTATTAGAAGCATATAGTACCCTCTACTGGATTGGTAAGACATATAGTCTAAAATACTGTGTATATGTGTGTGCAAGCGATCATCCACCACTGTTGTTTTTCATGGACGTCCATGCCTTTTTATGTTGCTGAGCTCACCAGTGCGTTGTTCTTTCCTCAGAATGTACCAAACTGTTGATTTGGCCACTCTTAATGTTGCTGCTATCTCTCTGATGGATTTGTTTCATTTTTGAAGCTTTACAATGGCCTGTTTCACTTGCATGGACAGCTCATTTGAATACATGATCTGGGTTCACAGAAATAGATTCCAAATGCAAATACCACACTTAGAATCAACTCCAGACCTTGTAACTGCTTAATAGATGAAGAAATAACGGAGTAGCCCACACCTGGCCATGAAACAGCTTTTGATTGGATTGTCCAATTACTTTTGGTCCCTTGAAAAAGGGGGGATGGCTACTCTTAAGAGCTGTAATTCTTAAACCCTTTCTCCAATTTGGATGTACGTACTCTCAAATTAAACCTGAGAGTGTGCACTTTCAGCCCATATCCAATATATAACTATAGCTTGAATATGTAATAAAGTGCAGCGCTAAATATTCAGTAATAGGATCACTATATGATTCCAGTCAAAGCAATTCTGTAAACAAAAAGCATAGTATCATCCAAGTGAGCCAGAGATCCAAATGATATGGTGCTCAGAAGAAGTGATAGAAATGCGCACTTATCAGATACGCATAGGATATGCGCATTGAAATATCCTCCTCTGGGTGAGGTATGATGAATAGGGATCCTCCTTCAAGGTATGGGCAGCTCAGTGATGTGTGGGTGAAGACACTGAATCCAGAGGTCTCCTTTAGGATAGAATGGGTCTGCAACCTGCTTAAAGGGATTCCCTTCCTCTGGGTACTGTGTCACTCCGCAAAAACATCCACTGGCTCTGCAACTTATTGGCTCCGTAAAGTAGCCATAGAAAAGGTGCCCATAGTGTAGTAGTTTTAAAAGTAATTTTTATTAACATGAGCATAAAATGAGAGCAGAAGGTAAACTAACCCTTTTCTAAGAGGGCCGCCGGACCACCTATTCTATATTTTTTGGCCCAGTCTTGACATTTCAACTTATATGTCTTGTTCAATGGTGGTTGGGTTTCAGCCTTCCTTACCTTGGCCATGTCTCTGAGCACTGAACACCTTGTGTTTCTGGGTAGGTTGCAGTTCTGGAATATGACAGCACAGGAGGATAATGAGTTCCTGGTAGCTTCACATTGGATTCTTTCTTGCGACCCTGTTGACTATTTGCAACAAAACATTTGATGGTTCTGTGATCACGCCCAAATATCTTAGCAATTTCAAGAGTGCTGCATCCCTCTGAAAGACTTTTTTTTGCAATTTTTTACTTTTTCAGAGTCAGTTAATCTCTTTTTTGGCCCATTTTGCCTGAGGAAAAGAAGATGCCTAATTATGCACACCTTGATACAAGGTGCTGATCTCCTTAGTCCACACCTTGCCTCATTACACAAATACACATCACCTGATATGCTTAAATCCAATAAGCATTCAAGTTTATAGTTTATTTGGTGGCCAGTTATGGGTATTTAATATATATATATATATATATATATATATATATATATATAATTTTTTTTTATTTATTAAATACCCATAACTGGCCACCAAATGGCCCAATACGCATTGCATCCAATGCATGTAGGTAAAAAAACCTTCACTGTGCAGCTCTTCCCCTCCAAAATACTCACCTGAGCCCCCTCTTGATCCAGCAATGTTTGCAGGAGCTTCAATTGTCCAGGGTCTCTCACAGCGGGGACACAGCAGTGGGAGCCATTAGCTTAAGGAGGGGCATTAAAGTGTACTGAAATTCTTGTTTTGAGGGCCACATTTAGTCTTTCGCTTTGCCACTTTCTGTGTGCACCTTCTGATCACTGGACTTTAAAATGACATCACACTGCTGACTCCTTGCTGTTCTTCCTCCATTTCTCAGTGCCTAAAAACACATTAGGCAGGCGTGTAAGGTGGAAGCAGTCGAGCAGCTGCTCTGCTAACCGATCACTTCCACAGTCCCTGGTACTGGCGCCACCCCACCTGTGGTCGTGCTCCCGCCATGTATCCGGAGCTCGCTTTCCCATCTGTGGGCCCGGGCAGCACCATGGCGGGTGCCAGCGGGTACAGGGGAGTGGACGAAAGTCCGCTCTCCTCCCCTTCTTTCCGTGACCCGGAAGGCGACGTGTATGACGTCACTTCCGGGTCATGGCTGTCACTTTGCGATCTGCATTGTAATACATCTACTGGAGACCAGAGGAGACATGCAGGGACTTTTAAATCCTGCATATCTCAATAAAGAGAACCTGTCACCTAAAAATTATCACATAGGGGAATGCAAAAAAAAAAAAAGATACACCCAAGCACATAACATCCCCCCCAAAAAAATTTTGAGCCCCCCCCACCCCCACATATACGCACATACAAACATAGATGCACACATTGGGGCGCCTATGTGTGAAAATGACTATTGCGATACACATGTTACATATCACCGCACATGCTGGAGAGCAATAATTCTACCTCCTCCATAACACTAAACTGATGACCTATAGGGGCTTTTGAAGCATCGCCTATAGAAAATATCGGGTCCTGAAGTTTTTCGCCATTTCATAAATAATTTTTTAAATGTGTGCAGAAAATGCATAAATGGCTCTGGCAGCGAAAGGGTTAAGGTAGTCTATTCATTTTTTTGCTTACAAACTTTTCATTTTGCTATATCAAAAACAGAATAAATCACTGTACAAAAGAAATATAAATGCAAAAAGGTTTGCAACTGAAAATCTATGTGAATATATAGAAATTTTATTATAGCTCTACATAGTATTCATAGAGGTAGAACTGTGTTATAAAGCATATATCCTATCCTATACATATAAGACTAAATATGAGTCAAACATCTGTGCAGTGTCTTAAAATCAAATTACAAAAAGACAAGCAACCTTATTTAGATTTTCACAAATATTCCATGGTGTCAGTAGGAAGAAATAATGCCTTGACTCATGAGAGGAATAGTGCCCCAAGGGCCGCATAAAGGCAAACAAAGGGCAGTAGTTTGAAGACTACTGCCCCAGGGGATTAATTACATATTTGTTCATATACTGTATAGTAGGCGAAGAGGACAGGGATTGTGAATATTATGATGTATACTAGTGTTTAATTTGTAATTAATGAAAGTTTTCCTGCCGTGGAGTACTCATAAATTGCTGAAGGTGGGCAAAAGTTATAAAAGTTATAACTGGAAATGCTCAAAGAGTTGTGGAGCTTATAATCAGTCTCTTCACTTTTATTGACCTGCCAAAATACATAAAACCTGATATTCCCCCTTTTTTTTTTTTTTTATAAATGCAGCACACCCAATGCACAGATGATTTGCATTGGTTTGTCATGCACTACGACACAAGTGTGTTGTGGTGCACTGCCTATATGTATTTGGATGCCATTCAAACACTGTTTTGTGCATTATGGTAACATGCAGTCCAGCAGGTCCTGAATGTTTGAAAGTATCATGTAGCTGTTACACATTTTTGAAATAATGTCTTTCTTTATTTGTAGGTGGGACTTTGAAGGAGTTCTGCAAACTATCAAGAGAGTTCAACAGTATAATCCCAGTAACATCTAACCAGGCCAATTTAGAATTAGATCTTTCAGCTCCATTTCTTATTCAAGGCGACAGATGGCATTATGGGTATGGTGACTTAAATATACTGAAATGTAATGAATTATAATATTTCTCATTTTATTATATGCAGTTTATTGTGATCAGTCTTAGAAGAAAGCAGAAAGAATATTTGTTTGGTATCTAGATTGACTGACTGACTATCAAAGTATACAGTATGTGGGAAGCACGGGCTAGTCGTGAACTGCAGGTACAAGGAGGAACAGCACAACATATCAGCTTCACAAAACTCCATCAGGTTGTTTTGGAATCAAATCTTTCGTAGCTCACCAAAAGCTGCAATGGTGAATCTTGGTGTCACCATCTTTACTGTACAACATTGCATAGCCTTGTGTATCAAGGCTGGCTGTACAGAATTTCAAATTCTCAGAATATAAATTTCGCTGTTGTGATCATTGCTAATCATGATCTATGGGCAGGGAGAGATTTGCCATGAGATACAGTACACGCATGCCTTCAGGTTAAGAGACAGTTTTTGCTGTATAAGAATTGACCACATTTTTCCATCATCAGCTGACCAAGCTATTTCATTTACATGTTATAATAATTCTAATATTTTAAACTAGGTTTTATCAATAAAGGTATGTTGCTTAGGGTGCCAAAACTTGCATGCCTACAAGATCCAGCCCCGACTATGGGCATAATAGTCCAAAAAAAGTTATGCATAGCCATTATGATCGCCACTTTGGATTTTACTTTGCTGTGCGTAACAATATATTTTTTTTGCCCTAAGGGTTTAATTTAGAGAATTTTCCAGCCTTTTTCTTATATGCTCATGTCTATTTCTTTCTTTCTTATGCTCCAATTTGCATGTACCACATGGAGGGAATTGTCAGCACAAGCCAGACATCACAGGCACAGCGTTATACTCATTTGACATTCTTTAGCCAGCAGCTCGATTAACTCTGCTTTACTTTTTAAGGTGCAAAAAATGTTCAAGCCTCAAGTCTATAGAAGCACTTAGCTCTTTAACCCGTGAAGGATCCTGGAATGCTACTGAAATAGCAAAAGGTAGATTATGGGAAAGCAGTCAAAGATATGTTAATGATCGCATATTGACAAAACAATCATTTGACAGGCACAAATATTGCTGTGTGTTTATTCTTATTATTCATCATATTTCTTCTTTGATAAAGAATTCTTTGTAACCACCATGCTGGTCATATACATTGGGTTCTAAACTACACTGCTCAAAAAAAATTAAATAAACACTTTTTTAATCAGAGTATAGCATCAAGTCAGTTAAACTCCTGGGATATTGATCTGGTCAGTTAAGTAGCAGAGGGGGTTGTTAATCAATTTCAGCTGCTTTGGTGTTAATGAAGTTGACAACAGATGCACTAGATGGGCAACAATGAGATGACCCCCAAAATAGGAATGCTTTTACAGGTGGAGGCCACTGACATTTTTTCCCTACTCCATCTATTCTGACTGTTTTTCACTCGTTTTGCATTTGGCTAGGGTCAGTGTCACTACTGGTAGCATGAGGAGATACCTGGACCCTACAGAGGTTGCACAGACAGTCCAACTCCTCCAGCATGGCACATCAATACATGCCATTGCCAGAAGGTTTGCTGTGTCTCCCAGCACAGTCAAGAGCATGGAGGAGATTCCAGGAGGGAGACAGTAACTCTAGGAGAGGCTGTAGAAGGTCCTTAACCCATCAGCATGATTGGTATCTGCTCCTTTGTGTTCCTTTGTCCTCCAGCAGGCCACTGGCGTGAATATCTCTGACCAATCAGAAATAGACTTCATGAGGGTGGCCTGAGGGCCCAACTTTCTCTAGTGGGACCTGTTCTCACTGACTGGCACCATAGAGCTTGATTGGCATTTACCATTGAACACAAGAATTGGCAGGTCCTCTACTGGCGTCCTGTGCTTTTCACAGATGAGAGTAGGTTCACCCTGAGGACATGTGACAGATGTGAAACGGTCTGGAGAAGCCGTGGAGAACGCTGTCTGTAACTTCGTTCAGCATAACCGTTTTGGTGGTGGTTCACTGATGGTGAGGCATATCCATGGAGGGACGCATAGACCTCTACAGGCTAAACAATGGCACCCTGACTGCCTTTAGGTATCGGGATGAAATCCTTGGACCCATTGTCAGACCCTACGCTGGTGCAGTGGGTCCTGGATGCCTCCTGGTGCATGACAATGCCCGACCTCATGTGGTGAGAGTATGCAGGCAGTTCCTGGAAGATGAAGGAATTGATACCATTGAATAGCCCCCACGCTCGCCTGACCTAAATCCAATAGAACACCTCTGGGATGTCATGTTTTGGTCCATCTGACTCCGCCAGGTTGCACCTCAGACTTTCCAGGAGCTCAGTAATGCCCTGGTCCAGATCTGGGAAAAAATACCCCCAGGACACCATCCATTGTCTCATTAGGAGCAAGCCCCGACGTTGTCAGGCATGCACACAAGCATGTGGGGGCCATACAAACTACTGAGTACCATTTTTAGTTAAAATGGACTAGCCTGCTGCACCATTTTTTTACTTTTATTTTCGGGGTGTCTTTGAATTCAGTCCTCTGTAGGTTGCTAATTTTCATCAAACGATGGGGCATCTTTACGTTCCTAACATATTACCCAGTCCATATTAGTAACGATATTCAGCATGTTATTTTCCACTTTGAGATCTGTGTTTTCAAAGTGTTCCTTTAATTTTTTTGAGCAGTTTATGTATCTTTTTGGTTTTCTTAGTTTTATGTTGGGTTTTTTAAACTGTTCAGTTGTTATAACCAGAGTAATCTAGATTGGGTTATTTGCATCTAAGTACTATCCCGTACAATATATGGCCCAAACGTTTGAGGGCCATAAGGGCCATAATGCTAATAGTATATAAAAATATATACAGTATGTTGTATTAAAAATACCATCAACTTAATTATTTTCTAACATAGGCAACACATTGTGCCTTAAAGCCATTATGACATTCTTGAAAAAAAAGAAAAAAAAAAGCAATGGAAAATACCCTGCAAAAAAAAGATGTGTTATACTTACTGGCCCAGTACTGTAAATGTTTTTGTCCTGCTAGGCAAAGCTACCAGTAGAATCTTTACATATTTTTTGTGTGCCATATGCCTATGTCCCCTGTTTAGTGGTATGGTTCATGCCAACCCTTTAAAGACATAGTAGTGACACAATGTTTTGTTAGGTTTTGTTTTAAAAATGTTTGATTTTCTAATAATTTAGTTGGGTCAAATCAAAGTTTTGTTTTTTGACTGCAGTGATGGGAAAATTCAAAGGAGCAGGGTGGAAACAAATGAAGTTCTAGCCGTGAATGTGGTTTTATTTTAGGAAAGTTCATTAATTCCAAATCAAATGTTAAAAACAAAGATTTTTGAAGTGCTAATGAATGACATTTGTCGTGTCATCAAATATACTGATAGGAATTTTCATATGAATGTTCAGATGAGCATACATTTGTACAAAAATCTAATAGTGTGTAGCCAGCTTTAGAGGCTGGAGGATGGAACTACAACATGTGGATGGGAGACAGACAGCCAACACACCTGTAAGTGTGTTGTGTATTACATTTCTGCACAAGAACAAAATTTTTTTAAAAAGCAACAGAGTGGTTTCAAGTTATAAAGGACACAAAATAATTGCACCTGCAGAATGGAAGTAGGGCAAACATGGTATAATGCTTACAAAATAAAAACTGAGGCTGAGAATGACAAACTTTAAATTCATTCAGCATAAGAAAAATAATGAGGCTTATACCCAGAATTCATAACAGGGAAGGTACTACTGTGCAGTGTCAATTCATACAGAATAAGAGCAGACACTGAGATTAACACCCAGCAAAAAGCAAAAGAAGAGCAGGGAGTTAAAGCGGTAGTAAACCCGAAACCAAAAATATAATATATTGCAGCTTACCAATCATTAAATATGGTGGTGGCATTACTTTTCTTTTTGGCTTTTTCCCTGTATTCACCTGGTGATCTGGCCAGTAACACACTTCCTGTATTAGAGTGCCCCATTCTGGATGAATGAGCACAGGGCCCACAGTCAGCATTGTCAGACTGGGGGGGGGGGGGAGGAGATTGTTAAATTTACTGTAATAACAGATTTAAATATGCTAACAACTTGAAGTCAAACTTGAGCTCACACTTTATAATCAGTTACAGCAAACATTTTTTCCTTTTGGGATAAAGGTTTTACATGAAAAAAGTAAAAATAAAGCTGATCATTGTAAGCACTCCTGCCAGTGTTAAATGGGTAGTCTCATCCCTGTAAACTGATACATTCGGCTGAAGAGCTTGTTTTTTTGAAAACCAACTGACTTGCTGGCTGGATCACCAGATGAAAATAGAAGAAAGAAAGCTTAAAAAATAAAAGAAATATTCCAGCAACCACCAATACTGGCCTTCAGACAACCCCCGAACCTCAGAAATAAACTAATCAGTAGGAAACTTCCTTATGATGATGTCACAAATAATGGAAGCAAACCCTGCAAAAAAAAAAAAACCGCTGCAAACTGTGCAACCAAATCAATGCATCAAAAAGTGTCAGATGCTCAAAAGGGATCTTTAATATCTCTGGATCATACAGCTGCACCTCTAGTAACGTTGTGTACCTTATCCAGTGCAGAAAATGTAACAAAGGATCCTATGTTGGCGAAACAGGACAGAAGTTACAAATACCTTCAAGGAACATAAAGAAGATGACTTTTGCACACCTGTGGGACACCATTTCACACAACCAGACCACATGGGAGACCTCAATATTTTAGTTCTTAAAGGAAATTTCAAATCCATCCAGGAAAGAAAACCTTTTGAACTAAGAATGATAATTCTATTTGACACAAGAGATAACGGCCTGAATTTGGACATGGGATTCCTCACTCATCCAACAGTTTTTATCACCTCAAGCATCACTGCCTTTGTGAGTGTAGTCTCCCCCCTCCCCAGACTTTGCTTTTGCTGTGTCTTATCTTATCTGTTCTCCTTTTTTTTTTTTTTTCCTTCCAACTCCAATACATCTCTTCTAACCCTTTGTGATCAGTACTGCTTTGACCTGAAGAAGGGGACACTCCCCGAATGCTTGTCCTTAAAATTGTTTGTTAGTGCAAATAAAAAAAGTATCACGGACAGTACTCAATTGTTTCTAAAAAATAAAACAAATGCAGCCATCGCATCTAGCAATTGGCAAGCTGCAGTATAATGTTTGCTTAGGTTGCAATCTCTAAGGAGCAGGACTCTCTGATTCATCCTGTACTGCATTGTATTGTAACTGTACTGTCAGCTTTCATGTTGTAAAACACTGTGCAAACTGTTGTTGTTATCCTGTGCCAATTTGCAGTGTCAGGGAGTGCAGAGATGGGTTTAACTGCTCCAGAGTTTGATGCCATTCTAGTTTGTATTGCTTTCTTGGACAACCATGGGAAGATCTTCTCCCAGCCACCCTTGACAGCAAGATCTCTGTAGTGGTCTGTGTTTCATGGCTTCTTTCTCTGCAATGCATTTCAACATGCTTTCTGTGGAGATTTACTATAGGAGGTGAGCAGACCCCTGGCAGGTTAGGTGTTGCTAAACCCAAAAAGTAAAAGTGCTGCAATAGATCCTGGTGCTTCCTGTAATAATTTTATAGAGCTATCCAGGGGTTGGCAGTGGGGTGGTAGTGTTGTCACTCCACCTCTCACACATATGGACTACGGTATGCTGTGCATTCACATGTTATGCTTGCAAAGTCCCATAGACACTACCGTACATCATGGCCAGCCCTGAAGAGTTTGTTTAACAGAGGCGCCTGGAATTTGCTATCAGGAATCAGTAGCATGCTGTGGCTTTCCCCAAACCCGTAGCCCCTCACTCTATAGACCTAGGGGCAGTATAAAAAGCACAAAAAAAAGTAGGTGTTCTGTTTATTTATTGACAAAATTCTTGATTGATAGTTATTGAGTTTCTGCCCTGTAATACAAAGTTGATAAGAGGAGAGGGTTTAAATGTGCTTCAAGGTTGAACAGAGAATGGTTACTCCTCCCCCTGGGGTCACATTTAGTAATAAGGACCTGCAAGGTGGGGATCTTTTATCACCCCACACAAAATGTTTAAAATAAAGGTAAGGAAGACTGTTTTTTAACTAAACTAAATTGACATACAGTATGTATTGACACGTGTAAAAGCCATCCACTAAAACATTATTTTCTCTATTTTGTTGATTTAGCTTTGGGTATTGAACCCTTAACATATGTATTTGTTATGAGCCTTATACTTGAAGATGAAACTGGGTCACTTAATGCTTATTTGTGGAGGCATGCAGTAAGTATAAGTGATTTATGATCTGTAAGTGTACAATATATGCTCTGTTAAAAGGCAATGGAGTGATGTTTGTACGATCTAGGATATGTTTTTGTATTCTGTGTTAATATTTGCAAGGCTTGGAGGGTTCATTCACAAGCATTTTTTGTAGTGGCTATTTTGAACTGAACATATTTGGCTAATGCAGGTAAGAGTTAGAATATTTCACGCTATACAGGCCCATTCACTTTATAATAAGTAGCACGGTTATAATATAGAGCCGACACAGACATTAAAAGTGAAATATATAACAATCTCCTAATACAATAAAAATGGCAATATTATAGGTACAGCAGCATGATTGTAAAGGACACCAGCTTCTTTAAATCATTGCAGCTGGGTTGTATGCAGCTACCTTGTGAACACTGGCCAAAAGGTTGCAGTGATTTCTCCCTATATAATCTCTCCTACTCTAAGATAGCCGAGGGTTTTGCTAGTGTCCTTAAGTCAGGAACCACTTTCGTCTATTGAGAAAAACTTACTTTCTTACATAAAGTTTTTTTTTGCTCTTTTTCAAACTCTAGATGATTCCTTCCAAGATGACTTCTTTTAAGATGATTGTTTCCTTACTTTGCTTTACCATAGCCACTGCAGCTTTTTATGCCATTTCTGGATTAGTGGACTCTCTCTCCAAAGAGCCTTGGGGAACCCTGCCCAGACTCTTAGTCCTCATGCACACTTGACGTTTTGATAATGCTGGTAACATTAGCTGTGTAAAGTCACATTAAAAACGTGAGTTTTTCAGCTTTTTTTTAGCATTTTTGCATTAGCGTTTAGCAGCAGCTGTAAAAACGTCAAACGTGCATGAGGACTCAGGAGAGGCAGGGCCAGCCTGTAATGTTGCTGTACACTTAATCCTGTTGTAGGCTCATCCTTGCCATTTACAGTGGATATAAAAAGTCTACACACCCCTGTTATAATGTCAGGTTTCTGTGATGTAAAAAAAAAGACAAAGATAAATCATTTCAGAACGTTTTCCACCTTTTAATGTGACCTATAACCTGTGCAACTGAATTGAAAAACAAACTGAAGTGTTTTGGGGGGGAGTAAACATAAAAAACTAAAATAATGTGGTTGCATAAGTGTGCACACCCCTCTTATAACTGGGGATGTAGCTGTGTTCAGAATTAAGCAATCACATTCAAAATCATGTTAAATAGCAGACACCTGCCATCATTTAAAGTGCCTCTGATTAACCCCAAATAAAGTTCAGCTGTTCTAGTCTGTCTTTCCTGACATTTTCTTAGTCAAATGCTACAGCAAAAGCCATGGTCCGCAGACAGCTTCAAAAGCATCAGAGGGATCTCATTGTTAAAAGGTGTCAGCCAGTAGAAGGGTTCAAAAGAATTTCCAAGGCATTAGATGTACCATGGAACACAGTGAAGACAGTCATCATCAAGTGGAGAAAATATGGCACAACAGTGACATTGCCACAAAATGGATGTCCCTCCAAAGTTGATGAAAAGATGAGAAGAAAACTGGTCTAGGAGGCTGCCAAGAGGCCTACAGCAAAATTAAAGGAGCTGCAGGAATATCTGGCAAGTACTGGCTGTGTGGTACATGTGACAACATTCTCCCGTATTCTTCATATGTCTGGGCTATGGGGTAGAGTGGCAAGACAGAAGCCATTTCTTATGAAGAAAAACATCCAAGCCCGGCTAAATTTTGCAAAAACACATCTGAAGTCTCCCAAAAGCATGTGGGAAAATGTGTTCTGGTCTGATGAAACCAAGGTTGACCTTTTTGGCCATAATTCCAAAAGATGTGTTTGGCACAAAAACAAGACTGCACATCAGCAAAAGAGCACCATACCCACAGTGAAGCATGGTGGTGGTGGCAGCATCATGCTTTGGGGCTGTTTTTCTTCAGCTGCGACTGGGGCCTTAGTCAAGGTAGAGGGAATTATTAACAGTTCCAAATGCCAGTCAATATTTGCAAAAAACCTTCAGGCTTTTGCTAGAAAGCTGAACATGAATAATAACTTCATCTTTCAGCATGTCAACGACCCAAAGAATACATCCAAATCAACAAAGGAATGGCTTCACCAGAAGAAAATTAAAATTTTGGAATGGCCCAGCCAGAGGAAACCTGACATTTTTAACATTGGTGTGTAGACTTTTTATATCCACTGTAGTGCATCATGTGCATTAGCTGCAGAGTGCTTTATGACCATGGTGGCAAAGCCAGGATAGAATTAAAAATCTGTTGTTCCTGCTGCTGAATTTGTTGAGTTGCAAGGCGGAGGCCCTTTAAGAAATCTCCCAGGGTCCCCATTTCCTTTTTGTGGAAAGTTACTACTGTATGTATGTACACCCTGCCTTCTCTTTGGATTGACACTGACCAGGAAATATCTCTTGGTTTTCATGCCCTGCACACAGATAGCAGTTTTTGCTCGCTGATCCTGGTCTACAGCAGCCTCCAGGTGCCTGCAACAAGGCATTACCTGCCCCCCTGCACCACTGCTGCGCAGATCACAAGTACCCCTTTGGGGACATTTTGTTCACAAAACATGGCAGACCATAATCAGAAAGACAAGGGGTCACATGTGCTCAATAGCTCAGTCTCAGCCTTTAGCTGTATTGAAGGTTATAGTCCATCCGTTTATGGCCGTTGTTACCCTTCCCTCATGGTTGCACCCCATTGTGACTCTTTGCCTTCATCTGCTCCTTCAATCTGGTTAGGTTTGTCTAGAAAGGAATTTTTTCTGCCACAATGCCAGTGTTCATGGTCAGAATTCCTGGCCTTGTTGAGGCCTTAGGCTACAGGGGCTATGGCTGTGCTTCTCTACTTCCCCTCTGACTTCAGTCTTTGACTTTGAGGTCAGACACGGCACCAGTTCAAAAAGAGAGATATGATGAAGAAGAATCCTTGCTCTCTGAGGCATCTGATGAGGATGATGCACCTGTAACAGAAATTTCTCCAAAACTTTCTCTAAAGGAAAAACTGTTGGTATGCTAATTAAAGCTGTATTCTCCTGTTTAGAATTGGAAACCGCTTGAGTCTGCTCACCCTAAAGATGTCTAGGATGGAGTCCCTAAAATTCCCTACATCAACTAAGACCTTCCTGGTTCACACTCTGGTTTTAACCTGACCTCTAACGTGACTGTCTGCACAACCCAGAGATGGTATTTTTTTTGCCTGATAAACGTTTGTACTCAACAATATCCCACTATTTGAGGAAAGTTTCCTTTGGAAGTGACTGTGCAGTTCCTGTGCTATATCTGCCCATTCAACAAGACCCTCACAGGCCCCATGGAGGACAATCCTGTGTTTAAAGATCATGTAGATAACAGGTTAGAGGTCTTCCTTAAAGTTGTTCTAAAGGCCTGAAGGTTTTTTACCTTAAAGTGTTACTAAACCCACAACAGTAAAATCAGTCTGTATATGTAGTAAAGCATGTTTGTTATACTCACTGGGGAACCCTAATGGGTTAATCCTCTGCATTGTGTAAAAAAGGATGTTTGATCCTGTCTTCTCTGATCCTCCCCTTCTTCCAGTGCCCCCTCTTATCTCCTGATAAGACATATCGTGTGGGAGACACTGCACATGTAGTTTAGTGTGTATGGCTAGAGAGGTTTTTTTTTTTCTCTTGGTAGATGCATGTGATCAACACAGGACCAATTAGCACTCTCCACACAGAGGTCAGGGGTCTTGCATCCTCCTAGAGCAGAAAGAAAACAAGCTTTAACGTGCTTTGATGGACACTGAAAGAAGACACCGACTGATCTAACTGCTGATCAGAAAAAAGTATTTAGCAGTTTATATTTACTAAAGTAATTGCATTACCATGTATATTGTATACAGTGTGGAATGCAAAGGTTCTGGGTTTAGTAACATTCAATATAGTTCTCTCTCCTGCACTGTACAGGTTTTGTATCTGATAGTCATTGTTTCTCTCCCTTAGCGATCTTTGGATTGAAAATATAATTTGACTGATTGTTGGTGCTGGACACATCCTTTTGCCAGAGAGTATGACTGTTATCTGGGCCGCTCTTAGATATACGAGGCCCCGTACAACCTACCTGACAGACCCCCCCCCTCCCACTGCCAGAGAAAATATCAAAATGATGTTTATGGTAAAAATACACTAAAAACATTATTAATGTACACAATCCCAAGAAAATTACTGTTAAAACTAAATGATAAAGCTCTGTGTGTATTTGAGGTCTTGGGGCTCATTCACAGATGGTGCTGTGTTGTGGCCTGTAGAGTGTAAATCAGTGGTTTGTTTTTGTGGCTGGACCGCTTAGAGCTGTTTACAGACAACCTATGTTACACTATGGAAACACTGCTGCAGGGTCTAATTTTGACAGGCATATGGGTGTGGGTGTACTCAGTGAGCACTCAGGGCCACTTCCCCACACCCTGCCCACCTGTCAGATTAAAACTTGTATTCATACAGATGCTGTGTCCCCATAGCATAACAGGGTGGGTCCAGCCACTGTGAACAATCCCCTCATTCATGCTGTACAGGCCAGAGTACCTGTGTGAATGTGGCATTTTTGACAATTTTTTTATCCTCACCCATTAATATCATTGGGCTGTCTAACGTGTGGGAAGTGTGTTGCACCTAACCACACAGTAGTGTGACCCTTACCATGCGTTTTTGTGGCTGTGAATGCGTCTGTGTTTACTAGATGTGTACAAGAGGTGCAATTAAGGTATTCATGGTACCTGCGCACTTCTGCAAAGGGCATTGCATTTCTTTGCTGTGCAGGAAAATGTATGCTCTTTCATGCGTTTCTACACTACAAATAAATGTGTGAACAAGTCCTAAGGGCCGGTTCACACTGTAGAAAACGCAGTCTAGGATTTGTTCATGGATGGCGGTTTTATGCATGCCCATTTTTGATGCATTTTTTTTAGCGTGTTCCGTGTGCGTTTTTTATGCATTTTTGACATGTTCCAGTGTTGTTTTTATGCATTCCAGTTCACTTTTGCCCCTCTTTTCCTTCAATTTA